GAGACGGTTTGCCGACAAAGCGAGAGAGGTGAGATTGAGATGGTTTGGATGTGCAGAGGAAAGATGTTGGGTATATCGGGAGAAGGATGCTGAAGATGGAGCTGCCAGGCCAGAGGAAAACAGGAAGGTCAAAGACCAGGTTTATGGATGCGATGAGGGGATGCATGCAGGTGGTTGGTGTGACAGAGGGAGATGCAGGGGACATGAAGAGATGGAAACAGATCATCCACTGTGGTGACCTCTTACAGGAGCAGTCGAAAGAAGAAACTGAGAGTGAAGAGGATGAACTGCAAGTAAGCTGCTTATTGAGCACCAGAATCCATCAAAGTAATTAAGGACTAAGAATGAACAGAGTTTGCCTTGCAAATGAGTTTGCCTTGCAAATGTTGATTTCCCCAACTTCTTCATTCTAAATAAACACTTATTTTCATCCTGTCTCTGATAAGTTTGGAATTTAAATGTTTTCTTGAAGTAATTGGCCTACTCATGTGCAGGTGCACAGTGAATACACTCTGAATACTACTCAAGTAAGTACACTTGTACACTTTCATCTGCAGTCCCTGGCAGGTTAATGCCATACAATACAACATACAAAAATACATAAGCAGATAAACATATGAGGACAGACAAAGCCACGTTAGCACAGTGCACATAAGCACAGGTAAAAGCACTTAATGCACTGACAATAGGAAACACAATGACAAAATCATATGAAATATAAGACATTAAAGGAAACATACAAAAGCTCATAACCACAGACAATAAGTGAAACAATGACAGACACACTATGCCATATTGTTTTGATACTCTAAATGCATTTTGCTGATAACACTTGCATACTTTTACTTAAGTGAGATTTCCAATGCAGGACTTTTACTTGGTATTTTACTAAGTAAAGGATCTGAATACTTCTTTCACCACAGCTCAGCAGAACTGACCAATCTGGCTTTACACACATACTGAAAACACAAACAGACATGGGAGATAATAGGTTGCTTCTGCTTATCTTTCTCTCACTGCACGTCTGTTTTAAACACACGTAGGCTGTGTAATTACTGTCAGCGTCACCAGTGTGTTTTATCCGCTGGCCTGAACAGTGACAGCAGGTAACAGTGGGTGTTTAAATGAGCTTTAAAACTGCTGTAATTATCAAACACTGGATTCACAGAGAGATTTGCTCTAAAATAGGATATCTACTGTGACAAAAAGGGGACATTTGCTATTTTAAAATGACTGACAGCATAAAATGAAACTAATACCACGATGATGTAACAGGTAGTACAGTAGAAAAGGATGAAAATGAGAACAGTATCGATGAGTTCTAAGGTCAACCTAATGTTTACTGGATATCTGAAGAGCACTGTCACTGTCTTTATTGAGCAAATTACTTCATGCATGGATGGATAGATGGATAGATGGATGGAGAGATATGTAGACAAACAAATTACAAAGTTATCATCCTTGTGGTCCCATCAACTACACCATTCTCTAATCCACAGGGCCCGGATCAACACTGATAGGTCAGTGTATTGATTAGGCCTGAGGAAATTTTCCATGGCACTGTGATGGCCTTCGGGAGAACAGAGAATACACTGACAAGACCACATTGATCTTTCTACTTACATGTATACATCCACCACAGACTGAATAGGACAGGAAGAACAAAGAGAGGTGGAAAACACATGTGTAGAGAATGGACTGAAAGTTCATTAAGTAGTGCATGGGTGAGACTTCTTTGTTTGATCTCCTTTAAAAGAAGAAGATGATATACTTTATAAATCCCCAATGGGAAATTCCTTTTTCTGTGGTCTGTGCTGGATTTGAACTGACTAGTCCCCACAGACTGAGCTACTACCGCCCCTAAAGTTGGGGTTAATGGCTAGTCCTGACATTCGTCCTGATGGTTCTCAGATATTAATACAATACGTTTCAGAAGGAATGTTGAAAGTATAAACACTCCAGAAGTAAGCTGTACTGCAACAAGACAGTCTACCAGGAATTGTTGAGATTGAGTAAAGACTGAGTCCAAAGAGATTCGAGTTAAAATGAGAGAGACCAAGTGAAGACAAGAAGAGACAGAAAACCAAGAAGGTTTCTGTCATTGGCAATGAGCAGAGTTCTGGCAGCCAGGCATTCAATTGCAAGTGACATTGATTATCAGTGTCAATGCCCGTTCTAGATGGATTTTTAATTAAACCAATACCTGTTTTCTGAACAAGTGCACTTCATCACTGGTTTTGTTTGAAGGAGAAAGTTACTTCAGAAAAAAAAAACATATTGCTGGACTTGGTCGAGACCAACTAGAATATATGGCGAGATCAAGGGCCAGGTCTGAATGCAAATACCGACGAGTTGTATCCTGTGTTGATGCAAATAAATCTTGCGCGTGGAGTGAAACTGTCAATTCTCTTTGCTTTCTGTGAGTCTGTGTCACCATTCTGGGTACCTTCAGTGGGAGTTTGTGGTCTCTCACTATAGTCAGATAGCTAAAAGTTTAAATCAGATAGACATCAATGAGATGCACTGAGACAAGAAATATTAAACCACAACATATGCTACGCATAAATGTTATTAATTTTGTATATTTTCCCCTTTTATTCTGTCTTTTTATCTCTGATTAATAATGCCTTTAAAGACTAGTTAAATGAGTTGGTAGATATAAATGAGTTTACAGCCGAGGACCCATTGAAATGAGCCACACTCTTAGCAGTTTCTATAAATATTTTAGTTGTTTTTCTTGTTTTGAATCATTCCCTGTATGTCCTACAGTTTATCCTGGACACATGTAAACTCACTGAACCACAAAACCATCTGGCTCCATCTGATCCACATCAGAACAGACCAATCTGATGCCATTTAGGCAGATGTACAATGGTCCAAATCAGATGAGGAACCCAGACAACATGTTAGGGTCATTTCACGGAAAAACAGCGGGGCAGCAGTGGCCTCGGGGATATAGATGCCAGCTTGTGACTGGAAGGTCATGACTTAAATCCCCAGATCCCCTAGGGAAAAAAAAAAAATCTGGACCATAGAAAGTGGATGAGGGAAGTTCCCCCTCCCTGAGAAACTACTGGCACGGTTCCCATGAGTGAAGTAAATACAGGGATAACTATCTATTTATTTCACACTGATGGCCACTAATGAATTTTTCTGTTTTATGTAGTATGTTTAATGTTCTGTGGTCGTTTTTGTCAACCTGCCTAGGGATAACATTATGCAAATTAGCTGTTAGCTAACATTGGTGCAATTACTTTTAATTGTGCATTGTCCCTGCAAAAATAAACAAACACAAAAAAAATGAGAAGGGCAACTGTCTGGGATAAAAAATATATTTGTAATATTATTTGAGGATAAAGTCATCACTTTACAAGAGAGTAATGAGGAATAATTATGAGAATAAAGTTATATTCGGGGAAAGAAAGTAGTATTTTGAGGATAAGTGGTAATTTAAGAGACAAATTCAGGTTTGGGGGACATTTGGAAAATGTTAATGTTATCCAATCCAATCCAACTTTATTTGTTAAGCACAAGAATGTATGAAAGTATAACAGAAGCAGCCATACAGACATTTCCAAATGACCCCCTCATTATAAGGCATAATGTGGCAGTCATTTGGTTAAGTGATTAATTTATTTTATTTCAGGTTGTCTGTATCAACAAAGTTTGAAAACACAAAATTTTATTTTGGCCTTTAAGAAATAACATTTAGAAAATCAAATGGGAGTTTTGCATTGCAAAATGTCAGAGGTACACTTGCAAGCTTCTCACTTAACTTGAGTGAACGGAACACTAATAATATCATCAGGTTTTAGATGCAGAAAGATTTAATTATTTGAAAACCTTCCATAAGCAAGCCATAAATTCAAAGCCTCTCACTGTCTGATTCGAATATAACAGAAAAATACTGCAGACAGAAGAGGGGAAGAGAGGTAAAGATCACAGAAGAGAGATAAAAAGCCACAAAAGATAAGAAATATTAATAGGAGCAGCAGGAAGGAAACTGAACAAGACCCGTAAGTGAAGTTAAAAGAGGTTGGATTATTTTAAGAAACACATCCGAGGATTTCCAGGTCATTGCATCTGTGAGGTGGTGTGAGTATGATGATAGATGAAGGCGAAGTAATAAAGTAGCTTCCCCGCTGCTGTCTGCAGGAGTGATACCTCCAGATTGTTGCCAGCGTCCCTGAGAGGTTTTACGTCTGAGGCCAAATGATGTTCATACGCCATCAACAGCAGACACCAGCATACAGTAAAACTTCAGTCAGGGACATGTACATGCTCCTGACATGCTGCTGCACAGATTATTTCAATATTAAATCATTCAACGCAATTCCAGGTTTCATTGTATTTAGGTTATTTGACGATTCTTGCAAACTGTTAAAAACTCATTGAACAACATCGATGGCAGTAAAATGGTTTTATACCAACAGCTACACATCACAGCAGTTTTAAATACGTATTGTTCTTCTTCTATCTTCTTGTGAACAATTTTATGAAGTCTCCTTTTTTTTGAGGATGCAGCTTGAATTACACAATATAGTGTACAATAGACCCAACCGTGTGTATATAGTTTGGGACTGTGTCTGTTCATAGAGTGACATTTAAAACGGAATATGTTATGTTTTTAGGCTTAATGTTACAGAAGCATCAGCACATCGGTTCTGGTCAAGTGCAACTTCTGGAACCTGCCTCAACTGCAGTTTTTGCTATTTCATCATTTTTACAGCCATGGAGGTTGCCGCTTGGCTAAAATGAGCTTATTAGCAATAAACACAAAGTCCAGGTGAGATGATGGGAGACTGGAACCATGCAGCTAACATGGCTAAAAACATTGTACACTTCACAAGCTCCATAGTTTTATCAAGTTAAGATTAAAAGACTGGCTTTGTAGTTCTCTGAACCCCTGACATCCTTCTAAAAGTTAATTACTGTTATCAATGAATGTCCATAAGGAGGGGCTTGGCAGAATGAGTACTGCACATCACACATAACCGCAACATTGCTGGTTTGCACCCAGCTACCTTTGTTGTATGTCTCACCCCTGGTTTCCTGTCTGCCGCTTCACTCTCAATTTGTGCAATAAAGCTGAAAATGCCAAAAAAATAATCTTAAACTGAACTAATTACTTGCTCCTTGGTCTGTGGCCTAATTCCTAAGTCCATTCAAACATATTATTAGCTCTCCTGCTAACCTCAGTGGAGGTAAAAACATGCTGCTGACCTACTTTTAGTGTTTTAAGTAACGAACCTCTTGTAAAGCAGAAAAAACACTCTAAAGCACAGCGCACATCAAAGTTATTAGGTTGAATCATTAGATTGAACACTAATTAACATAAGATATAAAAGCTCAGAGTTTTCAGAGCTACCTAACTAAGAACTCCAAAGAGGCCAAATCTGCAGGTGCATTTTTAACACAAAAACAAATCTTTAAAGCAGTTTTTGCAGTGCGCCCTGCTGGCCTAAAAGTTTAAAGCGCCAAACCATGAACTGCAACGTCCCCAGACTGGACTCAACTATGAACCAAACCTTGTTCCATGTTGTTCCCCCTCTCTTTTTCACCTAATTTTCTCTGAGCTGTCTATCGCCTGTCTAATAAAGGTGTACATTGCTGCAAAAAAACAGCGTTTGCAATTGTGATTTAGCGGCTGACACTGTCCTCCAAAAACAGCTCCAGTTCTTTCTGCAAAATGCCAGATTGTGACTACTTGACTCGTCACGTAGCCACCAGAGCTGATCGCTGCAGTGCAATGCTGGTGATTCCACCAGAAGCGGCTCCAGTACCTAGTTTATTTGTGAAAGGAAGCTGCATGAAGCTGCACAGTGCAGATCAATTTCAGTCCAATCCACAATACTTTATTTGTCCCTCGAGGGACAATTAAGCAATAGCTTAGCAATAGCAATAGATATGTTGTGATTATATCACAGCTAAGGGGCGTGGTTCAGCCGAAACGAAGCCACCACTGATCAATAAGTTAGTCCACCACAGAGGGGCGAAGTTGACCTTAAATGTTTCAGTTTTACAGCAGATTGTTAGACCAACATTTTTTCATCAAGCGGAGTGATACCCAATTGTGACAGTTTACCCCATACAGACCAATGATCGTAAAAACAGCCACAACAAAACTCAATGTAGCCTACTTACCCATTGTAGAAGCACATAAAAGCAAAACAAAACAACATATTTGCTTTTACACTATGAACCCTGAGATCCACAGGTAGTATCCTTTTCACCCATGGTGAGGCACTTTTTCTCACTCTGGTCCTCGTCTGTGGAACAGCCTTCCTGAGGATCTGAGGGCAGCACACAGAGTTGATATTTTTAAAAGCAAACATAAGACTAATGTTTGTAGTCTGGCTTTCAATTGATTTTTATTTATTTATTTGTCATTATTATTATTGTTATTATTATTATTATTATTATTATCATTATTATTGTTGTTATTTTTATGGTATTAATAGTAGTAGTATTTATATGTTCCCCTTTTTCTATTTACTTTAGAAACTATTTACTGTTACTTTAATTTGTGCATTTATTTATGTATACATTTTAATCTGTTTTATTACTTTGTTTAGATATTTGTACATCTGACTTGATGATATAGCGTTTTCTCACATTCACATTTTACCATGACAGAAAATAACACAGCAAAACACAACACAAAATGTGTAATGGGGTTTCCTCAGCATCTTTCAGCTCATTGTTTTGGTTTTAACGACCCACAACGTTACTGTTTTGGTTCACTCTCAAAGAAAAAAAATTATATTAACTATACATTGTTAAATTAAAGACATACTATATAAAAATATTTCTGATTACATAATCCCATCTAGTGTCCTTAACAGATTACTTTTCCACATACGTCATCAACAAATGTAACAGCTCAGCTGTGAGAAGGACTGGATACATACAGGTATATTAAATATATATATTAATTACTTACATTAAATGTATTTATATCAAATGTCTGGAAAGTTACACATTTAGTGTGTTAAAATGACTAATTAGTCAATTAGTAACACACATGTTTTTGATGGTGGGAGGAAACCGGAGCACCCGGAGGAAACCCACACATACACGGGGAGAACATGCAAACTCCTCACAGAAAGGCTCAGGACCTTCTTGCTGTGAGGCAGCAGTGCTAACCACTGAGCCACCGTGCTGTCCTAGTTGATGTTAATGGCTGCTCATCCATATATGGGGAAGTAGTGATGGAAGGTGTTCGTTATTCCTCTCACCAAACGTCTTAGCCAGCCGTCGTTGTCAGCGTTGTCGTTTGGCTGGACGTCCACCTCTCCATTGTTGTCCTCCAATCCGGCAGCCAGGGAGGCGGTTCTTCTCCTGAACCCGGAACACTGCGGGCTCAGTGTTGGTGGTTCCTCTTCGGACATCTGGACACAGATGTGGGCCCTCTGAGGAGGGCTCTGGGCAAAGAAAGGATGCTGCAGAACCTCCAGGGGTTTGATCCGCTGTTCTGGATCAAGCTCCAGCATCCTCTTGATCAGGTCAACCAACAGACGCTGTTCAGTTTGATGGTCACTGTCCATCATCAGATGCTCAAGGTCATCAAGGCTCTTGAGCCTTTGGCATCTGGTCTCGTTCGCGTAGACCCCCGTCTCATACGCAAACTGTTCAGGTGACTTGAACATCCAGCGCTGCTGGCCGTGGCGTTGCTCTCTGAAATAATATTCAGTGCCCATGCCACGGTCCAGCACATCATCTGCCGGTTGGCCCTGAGTTTCTAGGATGAACCTCAGCACATCATAGTCTGTGTCCCCAGGGTAGAGTGGGCTCCCGGTTGCCAGCTCCGCAGCAACCAGACCCAGAGACCACATGTCTATAGCCTCATCAAATGGTAGATGAAGCATCACCTCCGGTGCCCTGTACCATGTGGTCTGTACACAGACTCCAGGCTCCACAGCGGATACTGGACGTGCCAGACCAAAGTCAATAAGTTTGACTTTAAGTGGCTGCTTCTTACTGTCCACAATCATCACATTGTCCGGCTTGAGGTCGGCATGTACAATGTCCATAGACCTCAAGTGGGACAGGGTTGTGGCCAGCTGAAAAAGGATGGGTCTCAGCTCCGCCATGGAAAGACCCCGGAAGTCTCTGCCTACCATGTAGGAATATAAACTTTGATCCAGCAGTTCAAAGTTGAGGCAGATGTGGTCTCTGTCAAAGAAATAGCCATTCCACTTGACGATGTTGCAGGTGTCCGGATCCAGACACTGCAACCGCTTTAGGATGGCTATCTCAGCTCTAGCCTGGTGAAAAACGGAGGGAAGGTTTTTATTCACCTTGATGGCCTCCATCTCATCAGTGACCAGGTTGTGGCATTTGGTCACAAAGCCAAAGCCACCCTCTCCGAGGAAGGACTCCACCTTGTGGCACTCGGCGAGTAAGCTGCCTTTGTAGATCTTGAGCTCCTCTGCGTGAAAGAAAGAGAGAGAAGATAATGTTAGTCAAGTTTGTCCATCAGAGCATAACATAGTGGACAGGAAAAATATAAAGAAAAAGAACTACATTCACACTGACAATATATGATAGTTAAGTATTAAACACAAGGTGTACTTTTTCTGTACTGTGTTCCTGAATGCATCCCTACACAACTATTTGACATTATCCCTTTAATGAAAAGGTGACATTAAACTAATAATAGTTGAATAACATTCCGGCATACAATTTTCCATTAAAATATCACAACTGTATAGATTGTTACATGATAATATTAAATACGTTAATAACTACTACAAGAGAAATAAAGCAGAAGGATAATGAAACGTACCGGCAGTTTCGTTCAGTGACATTCTGAAGGATGTTGTGTTATGTTAGTTGTGTCTTTCGAGCCGTTAACCAAACGTAAAAGAAGATGCTTTGTTTGCGGTGTGAAGGTGTGATTTGTCCTTAAAGTGTCTCTATTACACATTCTTCCTGTGACATCACAACTTTAAGGCTTTATGACATCACAGGGTTCCATCAGATCAAAGTACTCAACATTCTAATGTGTGTGCGTGTGCGTGTGCGTGTGTGTGTGTGTGTGTGTGTGTGTGTGTGTGTGTGTGTGTGTAGGTGTGTGTGTGTGTGAGTGTGTGTGCACTTTGTGTTATATTTTGCTTGTATGAAAAGTGCTGTACAAATAAAGATACAGACATTCTTTCTCTAACCATAACCAAATTTCAACCCGAACCATGATCTTTCTTTAACCCAAAGCCATGGTCGAGTAAGATCAGAAAATGCTTTTATTTTTGTAGAAATTGTCTGTAACTGTTTCAGACAGTACTGACCATTAAAACTATCCTGGTGATAGAGGTATATGATTCCAATGTGTTTTCTTTGTGCAGTGCCTAAAATGGATGCAGTATCACATGTTCTCTGAACACTATTCATCTGTTGCATAACACTGAAATATTTACTGGAAAACTGTGTTTTTTGTAGATCACAGTTAAGCTGGAACACTAAAATGTAACCTGTCAGTGACATCCAGCATCCTCCAAAGAGAATATCTGCTCTCCACATCTGTTTCAGCCCCCAATAATATCAGGGGTGTGCTGTCAAACGCTCAGTTTAATGTTTTTGTCCGGTGAGTCACTGAGCTGGCGGTGGAGTGACACTGACATTTATGGTGTGATTCAGGTGGAGAGAGAGCCAGAAAGAAGAATCTAAACTTGGACCGCACAAAAGAGTTTAGTCTCATCCCACATTGTGCGTGACTAAGGCGTACGTAGACAGACATATTTTTGTTTGTTTGTAGATTTATGTGTTTTGTTGCCTTTTTCTTTTTTTCAGTAGTTAGATTTTTGTCTGTATATATTTTTTTAGATTTTCTGTATATGTATGCTTGTTTTTTGAAATATATTTTTGCAGGCTTTTTGCGTTTATTGGATAAGACAGCTGAAGCTAGACAGTAGAGGGGGAGAGAGAGGGGATGACACGCAGCAAAGAGCCACAGGTCGGATTTAAACCCGGTAGCTGCAGCAAGGACACAGCCGTAGTACATGGGGCGACAGCTCTACCAGGTGAGCTATCAGGGCGCCCCATGTATGCTTGTTTTAATGTGTACGTGGACTGCATGCATCTGTGTACAAACCTTATGTGTTTTTTTTGCATATTAATTGTGGATATCTGCCTGTCTCTCTGCTGGTGTACAGCCATTTGTGTGGTAATACTTTGTGTGTGTGTGTGTGTGTGTGTGTTTCTATTAATGGCCCTGCTGTGTGTGTGTGTACTTCATTATGGGCACAACTGTCAGTTTGCTGGCACTGCAAAAACATGTCATGCGTGTCCACTAAATCAGAGTAATTCTACTGTCTGACTCACTTAACACACATCAGTTAGTAGGTTGTGTTGTCGTCCGGGGAGAGAAGAGGAGGCCAGCAGTGTGACAGCTACACAACCATCTGACTTGTCGGGTTCTCCAACAGACTGGTTTGAAAATGAGATCCCGGGAATGATCTCAACGGGGTTAGAACTGAACTTGATTCTTATTCATTCTTATTTTATTCTTATAGCTCGTGTGGTAATGATCATAATGGTCCATCTTTGTCTTTATTCTACACACAAAGCTCAAGCTTTACAACTAGGATTAAATTTAGACTGCTCATTGTTACAGCCCCAGGTTATGAATACGTCCATATTAAATGATTCCACACCTCACATTTTACGGTCAGTGCCAACATCCAGGAGTCCAAAGATTAAAAACAAATCCGACTCCAGTACTTCTAAAGCTCATTATTAACATGTTATATCTTATTTGTTTAAGGGCCCAGTGTGTTACATTTAGGAAGATAATAACCTGAAAAAGCGTTCTCTTACCTTATGCTTACTGGCTACACCTGCAGTGCACCAACAGCAACCGGGTGCACCCCCAACCAATCCACCCTCCAGCTTCCTGTGTGTGAGTGGCAAAACAAGACAGTGAGCTTTCGTTATAGGATTGTGTGGGATTGTTTCTGCAATCACACCGGTCCTTTAATCCAAACAAATACCTCAACAAAAAATCTCAACAAACCGCGTCTTGGTTATAGTTTTATATTTAGTGGACACACATGAAAGTGGTATTGGTATGTTTTCAGAATCCTTCAGTATGAATGTTCTTGTCTGGTGATGGGGTTGCAGAGAGTATGCAGTGTGAAAAATACCATTCCATGTCATAGTATGAGGAAACACCAAAAGTGTTCTTTCAGATACACCCAGACCCTCTATATCTGGAGCCAATGGCCTAACTTTCAACCAAATTTCATTGAAATATGTGAATACCTTTTTGAAATATCCTCTTCACTAACAAACAAACAAGAGCTGAACACCCCACGGAGGTGAAAACTATAAAAAAGCTGTTGACCTCTCTTTTAGCATAACTGAACCTCTCATCAGGCAAAAAAAAAAAAAAAACTTTAACTCCTTTAAAGCACGCTGCTCATCAGAGCCATTAAGTGGAGTCATTAAGTCGAATGCTCATTAATAGAATCTCAGCAATAAAAGACGTCTGGGAATCAGTTTTTTCAGAATTTTCAAAGCAACATGAATAGGACCTGTGGCAGGAATGCAATATACATCACCTAGGACTGCACTGTGTGCTACATTATAGCAATTTTACTCCGAGACTTGGTTTGGAGCAAGTTGTGGATATTGTCTGGTGACGCAAACATGTGTAAACTACAATGAGAAATGGATTCTGAGAAGACCAGCAGAGAAAACACTGGTCGCAGCAGCCAGATATTAATCCGCCTTGTATAGCTGCAGAGAAACAGCAGGACACATCTGGAACCTGCTGGTCTTGTTGTTGTCAATGCTCAGAGTTTCCCTGCAGACAACAAATGTTTTTGTTGCCAATAATGGCGAGAAGAGGACTTGGTTACTAACTAGCTCTGAGATCTTGAGATGTTTGGATGTATCTGGGGATGAGAGGACTGCACACAACATTGCACCTGCATTAATGATCAACACAGACTCTCAGCTCTTCAGATGACTGGCTCACGGTGTAGATGTTAAAACTGCCCTGCAAAAAAGGTCTGTTTAATGCACAACAACAACAACCAGAGGTAGCAAATGTGCTGCATTGTGAGGCACAATGGTGGTCTGCAGTCTGAGAGAATTTTGCCTTAAAGAATTCCCTGAAGTTTTGTATTTTATTTTTATGTTTGAACAGGGTAAATTCAAATAGTCAATCACTGATCAAACTAGGATTACTATAAATTACAATCAATACAAACTGCCATCCCCCTTTCCTTCCCTGTTGTTCCAACTTACAAAAAATATGATAAAAGCTAAAATATTTTCTTCTTCTTTTTTCTGGGGACCCCCTTACAACCCACTCAAGGACCTCTGCTGGTCCCCGGACCCCAGATTGAAAATCACTGGTTTCGACCACACGGTATCCTGCTGAATGAGAGGAAGGTACACAGCACACTGACACTGTATCTGGTAGTATTTGTTGCCTTCTGCCGCCACCTAGTGGATAATACGTGAACACCAAGTGCTACCTGATTGGCTTAATTTGCGATGTGCTTGTCTGTTATTGGTTGGTAAAATTTCTTCCGTCCACAAAAGTCTTCCGTGCAGAACTTAACACTTCCTCCGTGTCGCAACAATTAAAGTGTATGGAGCGAATTAGATTTTTTGTACCGTTAAGATTTTGGACTTTATACGTGTATGGTTTGAAAAATACGCCAGGAGAAAATTCCGTTCCTCCAGTTTAGGAAGTGTGGCAATAACCGTCGGACTTGTGTGGTTTCTTTCCGGAGGATAATAGAGAAGGGACCGGCTCGCTTTATGGAGTTTCGAAGAACACAGTTGTTGTGAGAGTTTCTCTCGGAGCATTATTGAACACAATGGGGAACTGTGGAGCGTTTGTGAGGACGGCAGCGGTCTTCCTGTGGTTGGAGGTGTGTCTGGTGGGCTGTGATATAACGGACGGAAACACGGAACATCTGAAGAGAGAGCACTCGTTAATGAAACCCTACCAAGGTACGGCGGCTCGGTTAGCTCTTAGCTAACCTGCTGCTCCGGCCACTCTTCTTTTAAAACTCATTCAGACACATTTCTTTTTCTCCCTGGCTCATTGATACAGTTGAGTGTGGCGTTATGGCTCATTCACAAACACTGCACTCATAACGAGCTGTTCATATAAGTTAGCTTAGTGAAAATGGCTGTCACATAAAAAGTTATTGGAAGAACTATCAGAGATATAACGTTAATGTCTCTACCTGTCTAACGCTCAGTGGCACATTGGGCTGCTCTACTCAGGAGCACGAAGATTTCCTTCTGAATACTGTAAAGACTGTTTTGCTCCATGTTGGATCACGGATGTGACTTTCCATGTTTCAGTGAATTGGCTTCAAACGTTCACCACTAACCATTTTGGATTCCGGTTTGCTTTGTTTGCGTTTTTTTTTGCTGTTCCAGGCATCCGTAGCTTTGCACTCATTTCCATATGAGCTATAAGCGGGGTCTTGAAACTGGTTTCAAAAGGGAAGTCTGTTCCAGTGAGCACCAAGAAGAAGATTAAATGAATGGATTGATAAAGGATGAATATGCCATGAAGAAATGAATGGAATCTGGTGGATGCCTGAAATGCTGGGAAAGATAAGATCTACCTTTATTAATCCCCCGTAGGAGAAATTCAAATTACACACAGCAGCATTGGGGAATATAATAATAATAATAATAATAATAATAATAATAATAATAATAAAAAGAGTACAGTGTACTACAATAGTATCACAAATAATTATATTACTAAATATAAAAGCAAATATAAAACTATAAATGAAAAATATATACACTATATGCAATGTGCAGTACAATGGTGTGCAAATTATTTTAAGCAGCTTGACTAAAAAACTAAACTACAAGTGCAATTTAAGATAAATTATAAGTTAGGTTGAATTAAAACCAGTCTTAGTCAGTGGAGGTTGGAGGTACTGGGTGCTGTGGTTGTGGAGGTTGGAGGTACTGGGTGCTGTGGAGGTTGGAGGTACTGGGTGCTGTGGTGTTGGAGGTACTGGGTGCTGTGGAGGTTGGAGGTACTGGGTGCTGTGGTGGTTGGAGGTACTGGGTGCTGTGGAGGTTGGAGGTACTGGGTGCTGTGGTTGTTGGGACGGTGGAGGTTGGAGGTACTGGGTGCTGTGGTTGTGGAGGTTGGAGGTACTGGGTGCTGTGGTTGTGGAGGTTGGAGGTACTGGGTGCTGTGGCGCTGTGCAGTCTGATGGCTGATGGTACCGCTTTGAGGCTCGGGGCTGGGTCAGTCTGTAGCTGAAAGTTCTCACAGCATCCACACTGTCCAGCTCCATCCCCACCACCGAGCTGGCCTTCCTCAGAAGTCAAAGAACATGACCCTCACGGTGCTCTGTGGCTTCTCCAGGTGGGTGTAAGCTCTGTGAAGCAGGTAGATGATGACAGTGGGTCCAGGCAGTCGCGTACCAGGGGTCTGAGGTGCTGCAGAAAGGTCTCTCTCAAAGGTCTTCATAACATGTGACGTTATGGCTACAGGCCTGAAGTCATTGAGAGCGCTGGGATGTCCTTTTTTGGGAACAGGAACTAAGCACAGTTCTATACTATATAACTATACATCCGGGCATCTAAAACTGTATAGCCTTAAAAATCAGTATAGATCAGTGGCTTTATACCTCATCAATGGGACCCCCACTACAGTTTGTATAAATTATGTTTAGTTAAAGTGCCAAGGGCTACTGGCATGGTCCTTCAACCGGTGGTAGAATTGGCATACATCTGATCCACAAGGCAGCATGCCCTTTACAACTTTTTGGCTAACTTCACCATGGTTGTCACTGATCGTGGTAGATGTTGGTAACAAATGAAATGTGTGTATGTGTGAAATGAACATGTTTTATCACAGCTCTCAAACGGTTTGCTGCAGGTGCCTGGAGCAGTTGCAGTAAAGTAGGTCGAGGAGTGCACTGCACACTGCAAGAATTTCAAGAACTGTCTGATTTAACCGTTAAAGTATCTGTGACCTAATGACATGTGCAAAGCTACCTTAGCCCGCCCTCAGAACACAGACCTGTTTGTTCATGGCGTGCGCAAAAACTTCCTGCCGGTCTTCATTCTTAAACAAAGCTCAGTAATGTTGAATAACCGTCTTGTTCTGCATGTGTCAGAAGGCGTGTCTCTTCGCCCATAAGAGGCCGCCTGAAACCACAAAGTCTTCTGAAAGCAATTTGTTGTGATAACGACTGCATAAAAATATAAAGGAGCGCTGCCTTGTAAACGTTTAAGTGGGAGAACACAAGTAAGGTTGACCAAAAGCAACATGTTATGTGATAACTTTCTGAAAGACAACTAGATTTCTCTCCTCTGTCACACACAGTATGCTCTGATGTGTCTGATCATGTCTCATCCTATCCTCTTGTTTGTGTTGCAGGTGTTGGCAGCAGCCCCAGCAGTCAGTGGGACTTCTGGGGAAGCACGCTGGTGACGAGCTCATATGTCCGACTCACTCCAGACGAGAGAAGCAAGCAGGGGTCCATCTGGAATACTGTGGTGAGGAAAGACTACAAACATAGCTCGTATTGCTGTTTATACCCAAGCCTCTCCTCTCCATCAGATTCATCTAAAGCCACGCCCCACTCAGCCTGGCTCTCTTTGAACCTTTCCAGCCTCATACATTAGTTAAATTAGTTGTCTCATATTGATATTTTGATATTTCTCTGTTGGGGATTGACAGATTTACAATATATGAGTGGCCATTAGCTCACATTGCACTTTGAGGGATGAAAGACAAAGATGGATGTTCTAGTAATGACATTTTGACCATTTCAAATTATATGCAGTCCATGGCTTTTGTTGGACTGACGTGTCCTTTCTTCACACTTGGATTTGAAATAAAATGAAAACAATCTGTTGGATTATTGTGCTGTGTAATCCTCTTTGAAAATGACAGTTGTTAGAACGAAAGTCCTCCTATCTCCTGTTTACTAGTCTTTGTTTATTTCATGGTGCTGGCTAAACTAAATTCTTGTTCTGTTTCTGGTATGCAGCCGTGTCACCTGAAGGACTGGGAGATGCATGTGCAGTTTAAAGTTCATGGGTCGGGGAAGAAGAATCTCCATGGTGATGGCATCGCCATCTGGTACACGAAGGACAGGCTGCATCCAGGTAACGTCGGCTTTTTCAGCCTCGTGACTCTGTACTGCAGAGTTACTGCTGCTGTGGATGAAACTCACCTCATGTAACGTCGATGCGTCTTGCATCGAAGGGTTGGATGTTTGGATTTACCCAAAATGCAATACTCACCTTTCACCTGCAGCTCTTCATCTAACCAAGTTCACTGTTGATGCTGCTATTTTTTACCACTTCCCCCTTGTGTTAATTTAAATAATAATACACAAACCACAACATTACAGTTACGGTATTCCTGCTACTGAATCACAATAAAAGCCATCCACTAGTGCATTGGTTAAAATCTTTCAGGGACAGCGAGGTAAAGACAGAGAAATGTAAATCCAAAGATGTGTATTTGTTCCAGTCATGCTGACTTACCCGTCACTCGAATGCTCAGAAGACTGTTACAGACTTGTTAATGAACGCTCATCACGCTCCAGCTTCTCTTCCATCATGTCCCTGGTATTTGTGTCCATCATCTCAGCTTTCTGTCCTCACTGCTGACCACAGGAAAGTGTCTCAAGTTGTCCACTCATTGTCTCACCTCATCTCTGCCTCCATCCTAGGCCCTGTGTTTGGAAACCAAGATCAGTTTCTTGGCCTGGCATTGTTTTTGGATACCTTCCGCAATGACCTCCATGGAATGGATGTAAGTGTGATTTGTGTGTGTGGCTCGGGGGGATTGACCTGCTTGTTTCTTTGCAGGGCCTGTGTTTTCCAACAATGCTATCTTCCACGGGCTGGCCGTTTTTATAGATACTTACTCTAACGATGATGCGACGGATGTGAGTGGTTGCTCAGGTTTTACTCGCCGGCATGCTGTCTCAATGCAAACTAGTTTTTAGTTTTTCTTCACTTTTAAATTGGCATGTTTTCCTTTTTAAAAGCATGTAAACTTTAAAAACCCTGCAGAATTTATTTTGTCATATTTGATTCTACTGCAAAAACACAAGTTATTGAGCATTGTGGCTCTCTGGCAATAACTTGTGTTTAAACATTAAATTAGTTAAATGTCTTAAATGAGGTTGTTTTTCCTTTTACCACCACTTGTGAAATATGCTACTTTCACATTGCAGCAGCTCTTTTTTATCCCTCTTGGGAGGCAGTTAATCTGTGAACAGCTAAAATTTGGACTAGATGGTCACATGGTATTAAAACAGATCCCGAGGCATCCAGGATGTTGTTTGCTTACTTTTAAATGCACAAACAAAAGTTTGCCTGCCTTCAGACCTTTTTCACAACAGCCACTTTGAAGTGAAACAGTAGGGTAAACACAGGTGTTAGCATTGACACTAATCAAGGCTCTGTTCCATTCAGGTCAGACCGAGTCAGGGTGTTGCTATTGTGCATATTGGCTCACTGTAAAGGCTCTGCTACACTAAATGGAACAGAACCTTAATTAGTATCTTTGTTAACACCTGTGTTTACCCTACTATTTCACGTCAAAATGATAAAACATGTAGTTTGGTTCACTTACCTGAAGTCTACCTTTATAGACAAAATATCAGAAACAAGTGTCAGTTATCAAAACAACCATCCAATATCACAACATATTTAGGATTGATGCTAAAAATGCCTGCATTGTGAAGGCCGTGTGTGTGTGTGTGTGTGTGTGTGTGTGTGTGTGTGTGTGTGTGTGTGTGTGTGTGTGTGTGTGTGTGTGTGTGTGTGTGTGTGTGTGTGTGTGTGTGTGTGTGTGTGTGTGGTGTGCAGTATATAAACACTATATAAACATACGCTGATAAGACCAGAAATGCATCGATGTGGGCTTCTTATATTTTATTTTCTGTATTCATTTGTCCATCGTCTTTATTTAAGAGTTGTTGTTTTTTGTTCCGATTTCTTTGCTGATTCTTCCCTTTCTGTTGCCAGCGCTCCTTCCCGTACATTTCGGCCATGGTGAACAACGGATCAGTGAGTTACGACCACGGCAAAGACGGCCGATCGTCGGAGCTGGGAGGCTGCTCGGCCGAGATCAGGAACAGAGAGCACGACACGTACCTCGCCATTCGCTACTCCAAAGGGAGACTCACTGTACGACAATCTCCACACAAAAACCTGTATTTTCTCAGGGATGCTACATAACTTCTCTTACTATTTGACTATATAATGCATACCAAATTATGTACAGTGTAATATAACATGCTAATTATGGAACCACCACTTTTGTACTTGCCCCATTTAAACCTGTGGCTTGCTGTGTCTGGATTCAGTTCTTTTACCACAATACATTTTATTTTCTAGTTTTAATAGCTTCTTAACTTCTTATGTGTCACTTGTGGCAGAGCTGCACCATTTACATCCAGTCTGTACCCTGCAGGTGATGGTTGATGTTGATGACAAGAATGAGTGGAAGGAGTGCATCGACATCGGAGGAGTTCGTCTTCCTACCGGATATTTCTTTGGTGCCTCAGCGGCTACAGGAGATCTGTCCGGTAAGTCAGGGCTAGAAAGCTACACAATAACACATAAGTAAAGTTATAATATCCACTCAGAAGTGTTCAAACAATGTGGCTGAACTCTGTTTTATTTCTAATGTTCATACAAAGTCTTGAAAGATTGGAAAATGCTTAATTTCTACCTTATGTTTTCAAGGTTTGGAATATGCTTCTTGATCAATGCTTGACCTTTAACATAATCAGGTGTTTTATCGACACAATTATTCATGTGAAGCAAAAGTCTTTAAATGTTTTAATCAGTCATCATATTCATTTATATTTTTGTATATTTTTAAAGTGCTCGAATTTTACTCTTAAAAAGCCGAACGAGCCCTGAACGTTAAGTTCAACCCATTGGAAGGTGTAAATGTGCTGTTATTACATTCTTATGCACTGTCCAGGAATGTATTCAAGTCATAGCTTTTCATAACAAGTATTATTAACATATATATATTATTGCTAATAGTTTATACTCATATCATTTTCTAGATAACCATGACATCATCTCTATGAAGCTCTACCAGCTGATGGTAGAACACACCCCTGAGGAGGAGAACCTGGACTGGACCAAGATTGAGCCCAGCGTCAGTCTCCTCAAGTCCCCTAAAGGTAGATTAAAGTTACAAGAAACTTGATTTAGAATTGCATTTCCTCTGTATCTGTATGTAGGAAGTGTGTACCTCAGTGTGATGGGCTCTGTCTGTCACCATCTTAGCAGTCCTGACTCCATCAATTCCCAGCTAATTCAAAAATGGACAAAGAGATGGAGCTGAGGCAGGCAGAATGGAGCCTGGTTACTGAAAACAGCCACGCCTTAAATTATGCATACCTTTTAAGCCTTCATATAACTTAAACTGGTGATTTATATCGAAATTGACCCCCTGTGCAGTTGGTACAAACAGGAAATTGAGCTATGGAGACCCAAAACATGTTTATTTCTGCTGTAAAGCTGGGCTTTTTAATATGGGGACTCATGGAGATTGACTCACTTCTGGAGCCAGCCTCAAGTGGCGATTCGGCGGAACTGACATTTTTCCTACTTTTGCGTTGACTTCATTTTCCAACTATTGTGGTGTGCAAAGCATTAAATAATGACTGCAAATCAAGTGGGCATTTCAATCACATAAAAATAAAATCAATGATGACTGGTACATAGCGTAAAGCTAAGCTCTGAATGTTTCTAACTGTAAACTAGAATTACAATCCCCCGGTCATATACCCAAATAATATAATATATGTAGGGGAGACTGGAATGAAAGGCTAATTTATGTTGCTAAATGTAAGTTCTCTATATTGATGGTACATATATATGATTTTAGTGAATATACATTTCTGAACTGATTTAATGAAGAATTATCATAGATGGAAGATGGATTCTAATGGACCTATACAAAATGCGGTGCTTTTATTTTCATTTTCATTAATCTTTAGCTAGGATCACCTAAGCTAGGCACGCTTCAATTCCTTGTCTGTCACGTGATTCCGATAATGTTCGAAATTCAGAATGAGGCGGCGAGTGAAAAGCAGAGTTCTCGAATTAGGGCTAAAAAGCTATTTTGAGGCCAGGGCGACCAACTGTGAAATATGACCGACAATCCGAATATATTATGCATATTGTTTAACCATAAGAGTCAGTTCCAAATGTATCACTTTATCATGCTTGTGCTTCTTAATTCGTTATCACCAACAATCTTCCTGGGACTTACTCAGACGGACAAAACATTCATCCACAAATCATACGAGCGATCCTGGATTTTCTTCTCCCTTCACAGACAACATCGACGATCCCACCGGAAACTTCCGAGGCACGCCCCTCACTGGCTGGAAGGTCTTCCTGCTTCTGCTGTGCGCTCTGCTGGGAATCGTGGTGTGCGCCGTGGTGGGGGCTGTCGTCTTTCAGAAGAGACAGGAGAGGAACAAGAGGTTTTACTGAGGAGAGAGAAGAAATAAGAGCCTTATCAGAGAGGTGTTTGCTGTGGAATGAACTGTTTCCAGATGACAGATTGAGCACATTCAATGTGAATTTTTTTCTAAAGATTGTACAAATGTTTATATCTCTGAAGCACTGCATTGGGAGTGAATTATGCTAACTTGTGATGTTGGTTAGAAGGTGCAGAACTAATTAAGAGTGACCCTGATCAATGCTGTGTCTCTGTGTTCATTAATTGCAGGGTTAGAATAGACTTGCTGTCCTTTTGAACTTGTGAGTTTTTCAGTGTCTTAAAAGATTGTGTTACGACCTGCTTATCGGTTAAACAGTTGTTGTCAGCCCTTTTCAGCTTCCTCTGCTGCAGATGTGATGCTACAAAATGGTAATTTAGATCATTTTTGTCTTCCAAAATGTGTTCCCTGATTATTTATTGGAACAAGAAAATAGCTCCACACACAAAAAAAACTAGATAAAACATCATGAAGTGTTCAAATCCAAATGAAAGCAGCATTATGCAAGAGTTGATATTTATTGCAATTTGATGCCCCAATACACCTACACACTGCTGTTGTAAATATGGACAGCTGTACATTTGTTGTGGTGCTTATTTCGGTGCCGCTTCACATTAGCAGTCCCCTCGCCCTGGGCCTGAAATCTTCCTCCTCCAGGCGGTCCAAAGCTCCTATTCTAACCAGTGAAAACACCAACACCCACCCCTAAAGGTTACATAGTGCAAGAACAGGCGTACGGGTTGCAGAGTGGCAATGACAGAGGCACCATTCACCCTATTACAAGTCAGTGTAGCATCAAAATGATTTTGAAGCAGTTATTTTAATGTAGAGGCGTTGCATTATGTTGCTTTAAGGCAAGAGAATTCTGTGTTTTAACCCATGGAGAGAGTTGTATTTGTACATTTACCCTTCTGTGTTACTGTCGCTCTCATTCTGACATTTAGGAAAAACATTTTTTTAAATTGAGTTACAATGTGCTCTCCACGTATATTTTCTAGAGGATGAATTATGGAAAGGGTATCAAACAAAAGTACTGAGTGCTCAATTATCCTAAAGTTTGTGTCTATTTTTGTTTTATTTTTAATTCTCAATATGAACAACCATATGTGCCCGTCCACAGCTCAGCATCAAAGATTTACAGCACTACGATGTCTGCGTCATTGGATTTTTTTGTTTGTCTTGCTCAGCTGTGTTACACTCTCTCTGTTCATACTACCCAATCAGCTCTTCCGTTTATTTTAGACTGATAACGGGATAAGCACTGGGCCACTTATTAAAATACAGACCACTAGGGCTGCAACGAACGGCTATTTAATCTGTCAATTTGGTGCTCAGGTAATCAGTTAATTTGGTCTAGAGAATGTCAAACATTTGAAAAAACAATTTCCCAAAGACCAAGTAGACATATATATTTAAAGTGCTTGTCTTGTCCAACTGACAAATTGACACCCAAGAATACTAGGAAATATTCATATTATGAGAGGCTGGAACCACAGTTGTTGACATGGTTGCTTGATAAATGATTTAATGATAAAGCGATTTCAGATCAATTTTCTGTCGATCGACAAAAGTATTAATCAAGTCATCAGTTCAGCTCCACTGACAATTTGGAAATTTCACACACTTTTATGAAATAAAACAATAATCTTCAGGGCATAAGCTGATGTTTCATTCCACACAGCTGTAAAGTAAACCACCATTCTATTTAATGAGTGTGGCTGTTGTTTAGGCCATCATTCACTAAACTGATTGTAAAAATGAAACGCATCAAGCTTTGGGTGGCTTACCACCCAGTCCTACAAATATCGCACACCACATAGGGGTGTAAGAAAACTTTGAACATTTTTGTATCACAATATTTAGTTTTGTGATATTGTATGGATTTTTGAGTTTGAACCCCCAACTGTTGGATAGCAGTGCTGTAAACTGAGGGCTGATGGTTGCATAACATTTTACCTGACAGTTTTCTAAAAATTTTAATTGCAAAACCGTAAGATCCAATCTTCCAGACACAGCCCCAAACCACGGAAAATTCCTTTACTAGCAGATGGGCGAGTTGCCACTGTGTTATGTCAGAGATAAAGAGGTTGTAGATTCAGGCTGTGAGAGCAGTACGATATGTATCACGATACAGCAGTTACGATTCAATATATTTCAATACTGTAAGCAAGTATTGCATTTTTTATTAATTTATCTATTTTTAGAGAAACTGTCATGATATAAAGAACACACTATCATATGCATAAAATCTGAGTTTTCTTAAGCAACCAGGACAGTGGGATCTGTTTGAGAATCTATACAATATCACGAAACAAATATTGTTATATGATACTTCCATTCCTATCATAGATTGAGTAGCAATTCAGCATTGATATGAAAATATTCTGATTGTTCTTCCATCATTATCTCTGTAAAAGGACAATGGTTTGACAGCATGTTCTTGACATTAAGAGTAACATTTTGCATTATGCTATTACATACATTTAAAATCTAGCATATATGAATGACGTGAAGCTCTTACTACTAAACACAACTTCTCTAGAGTTTAAAACAACAGGATAACGCCACTTGAAGTTAATGGATCTTGAAAACTGAACAACCTCAATCCTTTACGCTGAAATATTAGTTTTTTCTCTTTTCCCTGCAGGTTCTTTTGATCAGCATTTTGGGGTTTTATCCAGAATATGCCTTTGTTGTTTTTCTGTGTTTGTTTTCAGTTAACTATGCGAAATTGTGGTTAAAACTTCAATGAAATTACTCAACATTATGAATATTACAATGATTAACGGCTACATAAAACATCTGTGATTAATAAATGCGTGCAGTGTTAATTATGAAGCTCTTTCAAACTTGCAGAATATGAGTTTTTGAACTTTGAATTAGATGAATGGATAGCTTGAAGGCACATTTCCACTGGCAGGCGTCTCATTTCTTTTAATATCATGTTTATTTGTTGTTGGTTTTACTTCAGCTTCAATTTCCACACTCATCCTGTTTGGTTCTGTCCTTCCATCCACAAACAACATGTAAAAAAAATGCTAAAAGTAAAATTAAGGATTTGATGACACACTTGTACTTTTATATCATTGCTGAAATGCAGATTGTCTTTTTTTTTTTTTTTGCTCTTCTGCTTGAATCAGCGTTTTTATCACTCTTCCTTTGTTCTTGAAACCAGTCTGTAATTGTTTCTGCCACTTCAGTCAGTTTTGTGATGAGACTTGAAGCAGCTCCTCTCATCAGGAATAATGTATTAAAATGAAAAAATAAACAGTCTGACTGTGAATTGTGTTGTATTGACAAGTTTCAACTGCGATTTAATTAAATTATATTCAAGAATCCCCCCAGGTATTCATGCAGTCCATGCAAGTAGTGTTGTTTTTGGCGGCCTGTTTTAATTTTAGTTTTAGTCTAGTCTTTGTGTCACACTGTCATTTTAGTTTTTATTAGTTTTAGTCACGTTTATACTCTTTTTATTCTAGTCAAGATTTAGTCGACTAAAGGTCTGAGCATTTTAGTCAGAATTATCCTGACTATTTTAGTCTAGTTTTAGTCAATGAAAATTGTATTTTAGTCTCTATTTAGTAATGCAATTCTATTTAACCCAGTTAATATAGTACAAGTACCTAGTATAGACAAAACCAACATTTTCTTTTAAGTCACCCATTCCTCAAGTCAAACAAGGTTCTTATTATTATATTATTGTTACCTTATAGACTCAAAAATATATTCAATTCCAGACAAGGAAGATGCTCTGATTTGAATTTAAATTTAAATAAAATAAATAAATAAAATAGCTTCAAATGACAATGCCGGAAAAAAATGACATTACATTAAAGTTTCACTTAAAGAGAAACAAGGTGCTTGAATGCTCGAGCTACAATAACATAATAAAAAAGTGCCAATAAAATGTGTGTGTCTGTGACTAACGTTAACCCACCGCAGCTGCATCTTCTAATATTCTATAATAATAATAATAATAATAATAATAATAATAATAATATAATATTCTTCTATAATGCCGCGAGTGGGGAATAAGGAAGTGACGTAGCCTGCGTCTGCGCTGATGCAGCCCCGAGACTCAGGAAACAGAAATATTTCAAAATAATAATAATAGTGAGATGAAATAACGTTATAACATTTTGTCTCGTCTTGGTCAACGAAAATGAAGAGATATTTTAGCAGAGTTTTTATTTTGCAAACCACATTTAGTCCCGTTTTTATTCGTCAACAATATTGCATTATATGTTTGATTATAGTTTTCGTCACATGACCACCATTTATGTTGCGTCTCGTTTCTGTCTCGTGATAAAGGTTGGTTGACGATGATATTTAGTCATAATTTTCGTTGACGAAAGCAACACTACATGCAAGTCGCTTAAATGTCAGAGAATCATTAAAGACCAACTGTAAACTGTGGAGTTGTAAAAACATGTTGCACTGCAGATTCTGTACTGCTTACTCCTCCGATTTTATATAGAACTTATTTAACTCAAATGTTGTGATCTTATTGGACAGGGAAAAAATAATCTGAAATTACAAGGGGAGCTATAACGTATAACGTAAGTGTCCCACCCTCACTAACAGGAAACAGGAACAGGAAAAGTGTCAACTATTATATAATTGCTCCTTCCTTTAGTATCTGTCACTCTATCTTCTGGGGGCTCTGTGACCAGTTGTAATTTTCATCCAACCAATCACAACCAGTGTGTGAGTGTGTATGAATGTTAGTTTCTGTTGGATGGACTTTGCCGTCACTGAGTGAATGTGTGTGAAAGGGTGAATGTGGCACGTAGTGTAAAAGCGCTTTGAGTGGTTGGAAGACTAGAAAGGTGCTATACAAGTACAGGTCCATTTACCATCCACAATCCAGTTTTTATTTAAACGCTTTCAGTTTAGCAGTCAGTTTTCACAGAGTGTTTGCTTGTTTCAGTTTAGTTTTTAGGTTTTTATATATTTTGATTTTATTTTAATTAATTTTGCAATACACAATATAGTTCATTTAGTTTTGGTTTTCTAAATTCTAGATTTTTAGTTTAGATTTATTTGAACATGAGAACCTTGCCTGTAACAGGCTGCAGGCTATTTTTCACTCACATCTTTATCTCCCATTGTCTCAACCTCTTTATCTACTCTCCATTTTTCTGTCTCCCTATTTCTCTCCCTTTCCTGCTTCTGTTTTGGTTTGTTTTTGTTTTTTACTGCCACCCTCTGGTATAACCTTACCATTAAAGCTCCAGGCTAGAATCTTTATTATATATATATATATACATACACACACACACACAAATCTAAATGAGCTACATTAAAATCCTCCATATTTTTTAAAAAGTAACACAAAATGTTGTTTAAATGAAAATCTCCAAGTTGCAATTACAAAAAAAACCAACAACTGAGCATTGATGATGGTGAATGAGTCAGCTGATGGACAGCGTGCTGGATGCTTTCCAAGTTAAATGAAAGGCTTTAACCATGTTTGTTTTAAATTAAAACTTCCAATTTTAACTTCAATCCTTCAACAAATATTTCAGGAGCCTTCAGGTGACTTAATCATATGTACAGTGACTTTACTGTAGTACCATCAGATTCTAGTCCAGTCTGTAGTGTTCATTGCAGCTAAAGTTCTTTGCCTTTTTCCAGAGACAATCATTTAGCTCTGTCCTACAGCCCCAGAAATCAATGAAAAATGATAGAACGCTGGTCTGTCTAACACCCTGCTATCAAGACACATAAAAGCAGAAATCAACTCGGTGGTGTTCAGAGTTTGAAGTAATTTCCAAACAGGTTGAGAGCTCAAGACAGTCTACACCCTGTCTCAGACACATCCACTATCCTGTCACTCTCCATTACTCGTGCCTCATCTGCTGAGACCCGTGTAACCTCTGTTAAATCTTCAACAAGATTTAAATCAATAGAAGGAACAGACTGAGGGGAAGGAAGTCCCTTTTGCCTGCAAACGTCTGATCTCTTGTGATGCTGGAGTCATTGACACTGCTTGGAGTTCTATGCGAGAACGAAACTGACGACCGTACTAACTGACACCAAACCCGCCAGACGAGTGTGACATAGGTGAGGAATGCTGGAGAAACAATCCGATTAGATACTAAAGTTAATACTAAATTTAACTTGTGTTTTTATATTCTGTATTTTTT